AGACCATTCTATTTCATGTCCTGTTTCTACCATGTGTTCGGCCACTTCTGACCGTTGGATCCAGCTACCGTACTTCATTCGAAATGAAGTTCCCCCTAACAATGATATCTCAGGAGATTCATCGAAACCAAGTTTCTCTTCGTATACGAATATGAAGTTTATGACAAAAATATTTACTTTATTAGGAAAATGTTGGACCTGATTAGACATATCTCTTGGCCAATTAAATATTCAATAAACATAATATGGAAACAAAATATGAGGCATGGCGGTGAAATAAAAGCAAAATAGGTAATTAACAGACTGATTTGGAGGTAAAGAGAAAACCGAATGGCAAACGGTTTAATGATGACTATCGACAAACCTTCATCTTTTTCTAAAATCCGCTCATCCTTGTCCAAATCTTCCTCTCCCTTGGGCAATTCCAACCCATCCTCTTCATTGGAAGTACCCTCGGCGATCTCTTGGTCACCTTCTCCCTCCTTCTTTTTGATTACCAGATGGCCATGTACGTCTTGTGGCGGCATACAGGCCACAAGGTCATCGATTAATTCGTTGAACAACTCTGCCTTAGGACAGGGGCCTAAACCAATAAATTGAAAAAAATATACTTTTAAATTAATTCCTTAAATTTTGTAAATTGGTTTCTCTTCATATCTAGTATAATTGAATTAAGTACCAGCGACAAGAAAAGCACTTTGAAATTTATGTAAATAATTATACTACTTAATATTGGTTAAAAGTAGTGCGTTTTATATATGTACTTTCCGAATATCAATTCCACTTACGGCTAGCAATAAATGCAAATAAGGAACCTGCGAAAATTTTAGTTTAAAACTATCAAAAGAAATGAAAGTCTCGAGATAAAGGTGCTACAGTTAAAAGTGGTTCAAAATAAGCAAATGATACCAATTTGATGAGAATTAGGTTGACCTTTAGAAAGTTGAACCTCGCTTGGATCTAATCAACTTTATGTAGGGATTTTGCGCATTAAACGGCAAAATTTAACCACTGGGTCATACATTTCAAGTCTTTCAAGTAGAAATATGACCTCCAAGACAAGTCAGACTTCCCAATTTACAGTTGTGAAGAGATAACGTGAAGATGAGGTGAAATAGCATCTTATTTTAAACCATACGCTATCATTATAGCCTTCTGAGGAGAAGGATTAGGCGTAATTTAGAGCATGGCATGGCTTTATGTTTATTTCTTTTA